CCTGCATGCTCCTGCTGCTTGTTGCTTGATTGCTTGACCCTTAGGCTGCTTGTCTGCGCGGCTTCGCGCTTGGGCTGGCGCTGCCGCGTCTGGGTGCCAGCAGTGCTGGTTCTTTTCGGGCTTGTGTTTTGTGTGTGATTGTGCAGCTTCTCGCTGTGGACTGTGTGCCTGCCGGTTCAGCTTGTTCCTGCTTTGTTTTGCTTGAGGCACTTTTTACCTTCTGCCAGTAAATCCTATATCTTCAGGGCGTTTCATTTTGGACGTCCCCTTCTGCTGCATGTCACAGAGTCACCCCTCCTAGCGACTGTTGCTTGGCCCTTCCTGCTTGCCAGTCTGCGCGGCTTCGTCACGATGCAGACGGTACCGTCGGTGGAGATGGCAAGCCTGAGGGATGAACACTTGAGGAGGCCCGAGTAGTCATGGGCGATGATACCCGGTGACCCAGCCCGGTGTTTGCGAATCTTCTCCAACGCTCAGCGGCAACATGGAGCCAGGAGTCACGAGGTGAGTTGTGATGACGAGCGCGGACGGTCGAGAGCTGACGAGTCAGGCGGCCCGGCCCGGTTGAGGCCCGGGCCGGCCCGGGCCCGGGGTGGCCCGCCCGGCCGGGAATCGGTGCACTCGGAATCCCCGACGGTGGCCAGGCTCTACTAGAAATGACAGTGAAGTACCTTTACTCAAAGTTAAGTTAAAAATCAGTACGAGTACCCGGGCGGCCCGCCGCGGCTTTCCGTTGAGTAGGAGGAGGGCCGTTGGTGATGGCGGGGGGAGCGGGAGGGCAGCAGGTGAAGTTGCCAGCCCTGGCGCTTGGAAGGCGAGAGCATGGCAGCATGACAGCTCGAGACAAGCTCGAGCATGACGAGCTCGCCAGCAGCATGCAGGAGGGACGGCGGGGGAAGTCGGAAGTGAGGATGAGAGGAGGGCATGGGAGAGCAACGGGAGCAGTGAGTGAGAGAAGCCATCGGCACTGCATGGTGGATCAGTCTGTTTCCTCCCTCATGATAGGAAACGTTCCCAAGTACTACACAGTAAAAGTGACCCTAGAATCAGCTGTGGTTGTGATCGACGGGGAAAGCAAGGAGCGAAGTGTGAAAGTTTGCACCTCCATGGACGGAGTGACTTTCACGAGCACAAGCTGCAAGGTCTTGGAGGCAGACAACGCTCTCTCGATCAACGAGACGTATATCTTTCATCCGCAAGGGAGTTTGTTGGGTTCATTTCTGTTAATTCGAGCACTCATGAGCCCTGTCAAGTCAGAGCAGGAAGAGGTTGCGATGGGGGTAGTGGATCTGTCAGGAGCGTCAAGCTCTGACGGGATCATTCGGATCCAACGAAAGCTGAAGAGCGAGGGAAGTAAGTTGCACGTCAGTGTGAACCTGAGCATCCAAGTGTTGCCGCGAAGCAAGTCCTTCTCCATCTCCTGGGGCTCGGAGTCAGATTCCATCTTCAGGCGATCAGGTTTCGCCGTCTCTTCGCGCGGGCTTGTTAGTACTCCCCAACCTTATCAGAAGCGCGGGCTGCCCAAGCACGTGAGCTTCTCGGACCTGAGGTTGGTTCGCAAGGTCGCAGAAGAAGCGGAGGGGTACGAGGTGTGGCGAGCGGTGGATGCGAACAAACGATGGTACACGGTCCGTCGGTTTCTGGTGACGAAGAAGCAGTGCCGTCAGATGCTGACGTCTTGTCTTTCTGGTCTCATCGATATGGAAGGTTTCCGATCTGTTGGGGTCTGCGACGCTTTCCTGGTCGGTCTGAACGTGAGTGTGGTGTTGGATGATGGCGATGGTGTCTATCTGCGAGAAGCAATACAGAAGAATGGAGCTCCGGCCGAGCATGTGACCTCTCTTATCCTGAAGCAAATCTTATCAGCCCTTCAGTACTTGCACGAACATCATTCGAGAATCCACAACGACGTTGACGCGAGGAATGTTGTGTGTTTGAGGAACGGAGAAGTCAGAGTCCGAGGTTTCTGTTACAGTCAGAAGTTGATCGGCACATCTCAAACTTTCTGTGGACCTTACCTGCATATGTCTCCCGAGCGGTTACTTGGGTTAGAATGCTCATTTCCATCAGATGTGTGGAGCCTCGGCATACTCGCTTACGAGCTTGCAACGGGAAATTTGCCAGACAGCTATGTGCAGAACTCTTGTGCATCAAACATCTTAAACTTCAAGAATGTCGTCATCAACCAACCCAGTCCTTCAATCAAGGAGAACGCCAACATATCAAGTCAGTTTCGCCATTTCGTGGATTGTTGTTTGAAGAAGAACGCGCGCTCTCGTGCCACCATCTCAGAGTTGCTCGCTCATTCCTTTTGCAGTCGTCAAGACGCCTGGATCACGACGGTGGGAGCTTGGGTACAGACAGGACAGGCTGCTCATGGAAGGCCACACGAGAAGCGAGGCTCAGTTGTGACGCAGGGCTGACATGGAGGAGAGGGATCGAGAGGGGTGGAAAAATGTATTTACTCGAGAGCAGCTTGCCCTCCTGGTCTACCCGTATTTGTCGGACTTGAGGCTTGACATTCGCTTCTGGCTCGCCTCCATCACTTTCTCCAAATGCCCAGAGGCTGACCGAGTTTCCGGCGAGCTGTAGGAGGGTCGAAGCAGCTCCGACGTCGCTTGCCCTACTAGATCGGTCCTGGCACCTGCGGCTCGTCCTGGAGTCGAGGATCCTTGTTTGATCAACATCTCGCTGACCAGCTTCGTCACAAACTCCGTCAGGTTGTGTCGCTCTTGCAGCTTTTCAAGGGCGCTTTGCTCTCGGCTCTGAGCATACAAGTCCCGCAGTCGCGCCTCTTGATCATGGATCAGCTTCTTAGCCTGTGACAGCTCGTTCTCCAAGTCGTTGATTCGCCTGTCAGGCGTCCCGCCCTTGACGGGCCCGGGCAGCTTCACGTTTCTCTCCAACACGTTGAGACGAGAGTCAGTCAGCGAGCGATGGTCCTGCAGCTGAGCCTCCAGCCGTGCGATCTCTTGCAGGTGGAGGTTGTGCAATGTCTTTCTATCCGTACACAACTCTTCGTACTTCTCGCTCAGCCTCTCGAACTCTTCCAGCTGCTCTCTGCAGCTCTCAGCAACTTTCTCATGTCCCTTCACTATCACATCAAGTTTCGCGCTCACGTTCTCCTTCTCGGTCTTGCAGTCGACGAGCTCAGACCGGCAGGCGCTCACCTGACTTCTCAGGTCTGCCAGCTTCTCATTCAGACCTCCGACCTGACCATCCAGCACTGTCAGCGCCTGCTGCTGAATCTGAACAGCCTCGCTCAGCCTGCGGAAACCTGACTCAGTCCATAGTCTCAGTCGCTGCACTGAATCCTCGGACGCTTGGGTCGAACCCTTCACCACGTTCAACGCATTTCTGAGCTCTGCGATCTCTGGGCCCAGTCTCTGCACTCCTTTGGCGACAAGGGTGAACTGATCTGACGTGTCAACTTTGAACCTGTTCATTTCTCCGCACAAGACGTCGATCTCTTCCACCATGATCTGAGATAACGAGTCGATGACGCTGCCGAGGGATCTCATCTGCTCCTGCACTGACAACACCTCGCTCTTGAGCTGCATGGCCTTCTCAAGCTTCTCAGACACCTGCTTGCGGAACTTGCGCAGATGCCTTGTTGAAACCAACTTCACTGGCGCGTTGCTGGCAAACGGACAGTTGGTAGTGGTGGCAATGATGCCTGCGTAGGGGTGATGCGAGATATCATGCTTCTGGCAACCTCGAGACAGGAGCTGGTTCAACTGAAATGGCCTGGCAAATGCCATTGCTGATCGGACACGGGTTGCGAATAAATAGAGGAGGAAGAAAAAGAGAACGAGATGGCGATGGTGAGGGAGGAGAAGGAATTGAGGGGATACGGAAAGGGCTGACGAGGAAGAAGGGGTGCTTGTGTGGTTGAGTGGGGAAGAGAAGGGTAGGGATATGGAGGGAGTAGGATGAGGAGGAAGGGAGGAGGAGAGGGAGGAGGAGGAGGGGGAGGATGTTCTAGTAGCGCATCACTTCGCCCGACATCATCTCATCCGTTGTTTTTCAATTGGGTAGGCCACCCACCAGTCCTAATCACCGTGAGTCCAGCTAAAGGGATGGGGTGGGGTTATTCTGTCGGGGAATGGGAAACGGGAGGGAGAAGGGAGGGGGAGGGAGAAGGGAGGGGGGAGGGGGGAGGGAAAAGGGAGGGGGGAGGGAGAAGGGAGGGAGAGGAGAGGGGACGGGGATGGAAGAATAAGGCGAGTTGGGGAAGGGAAGGCAGAGATGAAGCCAAGGATGGCGTAGGAGGGCTAGCAGAAGCCAAGGATGGCGTAGGAGGGCTAGCAGAAGCCAAGGATGGCGTAGGAGGGCTAGCAGAAGCCAAGGATGGCGTAGGAGGGCTAGCAGAAGCCAAGGATGGCGTAGGAGGGCTAGCAGAAGCCAAGGATGGCGTAGGAGGGCTAGCAGAAGCCAAGGATGGCGTAGGAGGGCTAGCTGAAGCCAAGGATGGCGTAGGAGGGCTAGCTGAAGCCAAGGATGGCGTAGGAGGGCTAGCAGAAGCCAAGGATGGCGTAGGAGGGCTAGCTGAAGCCAAGGATGGCGTAGGAGGGCTAGCAGAAGCCAAGGATGGCGTAGGAGGGCTAGCAGAAGCCAAGGATGGCGTAGGAGGGCTAGCAGAAGCCAAGGATGGCGTAGGAGGGCTAGCAGAAGCCAAGGATGGCGTAGGAGGGCTAACAGACCAGGTCTGAAGATTGATGATATGTTTGAACATATTTGGTGCACAGGTGCAGAAGCTTGGAATGAATGCGAGGTGAAGAAGAAAATGAGGAATGCCGTGAGAGGAACTGGTGGTGTGAGGCCGGAAGCACCTGGCATAAGCTATTCAGTTATCTTGATCAATCTCTAGGGAAGCTCGAAGATGCTGTTCGAACACAATTACACTCAAGGTCGTTGACTGGCCACGCTCATTCGCCGGCAGCAGAGACCCGTTGAGTGGGTGTATCTAGTAAACATGGTCAAGAGGACAGTCAAGGCATCATTTTATCAAAACTTGATGCTAAGGTGAGCATACCCGCGAAATAAAGATTCATCAAATGTACTTGATCTGACTCTTCTTCTTGAGTCCCTTGTCGCAGTCAAGTGCAGACAAGTGAAGGCGGCTGGCGCATGTACAGACTATGATGCCTCTTCTGCTGACTATGATATCTTTTCATCGACATGAAAAGATATCACATGATGCCTCTTCTGCCAGAGCTATGCTGGCGCATGTACAGACTAAGATGTACAGACTATGATGCCTCTTCTGCCATTGCATGTGGTCGTAAATTCTTCAAAGAAGTTTCCGATATTCAACTTGCGATGACAAAGCTTGGTGTTGGAAAAATTTCCAGAAATTTCCTAATTTTGTTGCTTATTTTGAATATTTTACTAAGCAAACAAATGAAATGTTGATATAATATTCGAAACTCTGAAAATTTCTTTCTCAAGTTTGAAAACTTGTCAAGTCGCGATCCGAATTGATCGACCGTTGCGACATGGCCGCGTGCTGCTTTCTGAGTCGCCGTCGAGCGCCTCCCTCCCCTCCTCCAGCACCTTCCATTCAGCATTCTCCTCCAGCTCCTTCTCTCATACAGTCTCCTCCAGCTCCTTCTCTCATACAGTCTCCTCTAGCTCCTTCTCTCATGCAGTCTCCTCTAGCTTCTCTCTCATCTCCATCCACCCCCCCTCTCGAAAGCTCTCAGCAGCGCCACGCTCATTCACCGTGCGATCGGAGGCTGATCAAGCACAAAGATGGCTTGCAGAAGGTGAACCTCTGCAACACAACAGAGTCGTTGGCCTCGACATCGCCGTTTACTAGTACGTCATCATGTACGGAATCAAAGTCACGAACAGACTGTGAGGAGATTCAGGAGTTTTCACTCCAATTGAGTGCGATGGGGTTGGAGTCTCTTTCACGGAGCGTGCTGAACTCACAGATGCGCTTGGGAGAGATCAAACAGATCATAGATGCCCTTGAGATACCAAAGGACAAGAACTCACAGGAGATGAAAGATGATGTAGCATTGGAATCATCCCGCAGCGGTGAAGGAAGCAACACCAGCATGTCGGAGGTGAACGGCGAGTCGGTCATGATCTTCCTCTCGAGGACCGACAAAAGAAGCCCAGTGGAGGTTGAAAACAGTTACGCGAGATCTGACAGAAGAGCCAAAGAACGCGAGAGTGGATTCAAAGACACAACGCCGCTACGGCGCACGGATGATGTCGTCCCACTCGATCTCAGCCAAGATAGCGCATTAGTTAAAGACCTTCGACGCCCCGATCGGCCGACAGAGCAAGAGGGGCAAATAAGGCAGCAAGATATGCATCGTCAAGAAAATCACAGAAATGTACTGGTCCAGCAGAATGCGAGTGTTGAAAGCACAGCTACACTGGAACAAGATAAAATCTTGTTTCACTTGTTTGTGCAGCAGAAACAAACTGCAGATCTCAAGCACGAGTTAGACGAAGCAAAGCAAGAGCTTGAGCATCTCAAAGCTCAGCTACTTATACCTGAGATAAGAAAGGAATCTCATCTGCAACTGATGCAAGGAACGCTGAAAGAATCATGGATGAAGGTCAGCCCATCAAACCTTCCGTCAGGTTCGGGAGTGACGCCCAACGAAAAGCGAGAGTCGCGAGGAGCAGCAGATAATTGCTCTTATCTTCTTCCCTTGCAGCAAGTCACCAAGGTCGAGGCACTTGCGGCCTCGGGGCATTCCACCAGGTCAAACTCAGATCAAGGCTCGGACTCCCCTGGTTGCCAGCACGTGCATGTCGAGGACAGCGCAGTGATGCAACCTTTTCAAGGAGCTTGCACTCCACCGCTGACAGAGAGTTGTTGCTTCACTCCAGCCTCTTCACCTCGTGCGTCTCCTGCTGAGTGGGATGGCGAACAAGCAGGAGATCATACACCGAACCCGGTGACGCCAGAAGGAGAGGAAGAATGCGAGGACAAGGAGGATGAAGGGGATCACTCTATTCTTGTTGATCTCATTCACACCATCCGATCTTCGCAAAGGTTTCCATCTTCTTTACTCTCTCGTCTGATTTCTCGCAGGTCTCACCTGAGTCGCAACGAGACAAACTCAGCGTCAACTCGGCGGCATCTCGAAATGCGAGCTCCGACTCCGAGCTCGGAGTGCTCGTCGCGCACCTCAGGAGGGCTGGATAGCAACGAGCTGTCTGAAAGCAACACGGAGATGACGGGCTCGCTGCGAGATCTCATGACACACCACACGCTTCCTATCAAGGCACCGCTGCACGTGAGAAGCTCAGCTCCTGGAGGCATGCCCCGGGTTATCCCGACGTTCCGTCTTCGCATCAGTGATGGATCAACTGATTATCAGTGAATATGTACACCATGTATCATCTCTTCGCTCCAGGCCGCTAGATGGCGAGCTCTCTCAGCAACTCCTCAAGTTCTTTATCCTTATCCTTCATGTACGCGTCACCAGTTTCTATCAGGCTGATCGCTTTGTTGATGACCGCCAGCCTGTGTCTGGAGTAGTTACCAACGGGAAGCTTCGACACTCTTGCCTTCTCGTCTAACAAGCATCTTAACTTGGTCTCTATGATACCCGCCAGCTTCTTGTCGGCACCATGGCTGACGCTCTTGGAGTAAGGCTTCGCCTCTCGGGTCAGCTTTCGCTGTCTCCTCGCTGGTCCATGCTCGCTTCTTCCTGCTTCCTCCATCTCGGGGCACTCGGATTAACATTATTATTGTTCACTTTAATATTATTATCTCCCCCATAATAACGTTATAAGTGTATTTAGTGTTACAGTGCTGGTTGCGAAGGAAACATGGGGGTGCATGAAGAAGCGGAGAAATGGAAGGAGAAAGCGATCAAACGATGTAAGAGGAGGAGGGGGAGAGGAGGAGGGGGAGAGGAGGAGGGGGAGAGGAGGAGGGGGAGAGGAGGAGGGGGAGATGATGCGGCGATGAAGGGGAAATAAGGGAGAAGAAAATTGCTGAGGCCGAGGACGAGGAAGGAAGTAGGAAAATGAGGAGGTGGAAGTGAGGGAGTCAGAGCAGCAGAAACAGCGAAATAGCGAAGAAGGAGAGGAAGTAGAAAGAGGGAGGGAGGAGAGGCCGGACGGAGGGAGGAGAGGCAAGGAGCGACTGACGATGGCCTGATGGCTGCACAGCTCCATTCGTCAAGTTCATGATGGAGCACATGGCCAAGAGGGGCTGCCCTGTAGACGAGAGTTTCTTTGTTGTTCGCCATTGCGATGAGAAGGTAGGGGGAGGGTTTGATGAGTCAGCCTCGAGGCAAGGAGGCGTGGTTCTCTGTGAGAATCATCTTCGCAACTACGCGCATACTGGTGACGCCCTCGCTCCTCTCCTTGGCGCCCTCGCTCCTCTCCTTGGCGCCCTCGCTCCTCTCCTTGGCGCCCTCGCTCCTCTCCTTGGCGCCCTCGCTCCTCTCCTCGTCTCTCTGCTACTGTCCCCTTGCCTCCTATCGTGCCCTTCCCCTGCTTGCGTCTTGGTTGCTCACAGCAGGCAGAGATGACGATGACGCACGAGCTCATTCACGCCTACGATCACTGCCGCGCGTTCGTCGATTGGACCAACTGTGTGCATCACGCGTGCAGTGAGATCAGAGCTGCCAACCTGAGCGGCGACTGCAAGTGGTGAGGCACAAGGAGCGCGTGGGGGAGGTGATGGGGAGCAGGTGGCAGGAGATTCTGCGAGGAAACACCGCCTTCCTAGGTCAAGGACGTGCCTGCATCAAGCGACGCGCTGCTCTCTCTGTGTCTATGAATCCGGCATGCTCGGCTCCCGGTTAGTTCCGGAGGGCAGGAGGAGGGCAAAAGGTCCTGAGGGCTCCTGCAGGAGTCGCGCAAGAGGCGGTGGAGAAAGCGTTCGAGCGCTGCTATGCCGACACGAGCCCCTTCGATCGCGTTCCTTGAGCTGCTCATGCAGCTGAAGTGACACAAGCCAGACATGTTTATGAAGCTTAACATGTACATCACCTCAACTATTTACATGCAGTCGATGAAAGCTCACCCAAGCATCTCCCTCCTGGTCTCTTTTCTCCTCTGCTGCATCGCTCGCCGGGTTACCATCCTTCCCCTCCGCCTCCGCGAACTTCTGTGCCACGTGCTCGAGGTGGGCGTAAAGCGTGAGGAGTGAGTGCTTGTTGAGCGGCTTGGTTCCTCCACCTGACAGCTCAGGGAACGAGAAGTAGCGCAGCTCCTCTGCGGTGAACGCTTCCCCTCCCTCCCCCCTCTCCCGGCCCTCCAGCTGCTGCAAGCTTGTGGCGAGAACAGCTTTCAGCCAGCAGGTGGAGGCCGCGGCTCCTTCCAGCGGCAGCGCGTTCACGATCGACTCGGTCAGATACTCGACCTGTCGCTTCAGCACCCGCACGTTCCTTCCCAGCAGCCTCGCGAGCTCAAGAGGATCCGAGCCCTCGTCCTGCTTGATGCTCTCCGCCACAAGGATGCCGTTGAGCTCATCCTTCAGCTCAGCCAGATGGTGCGAGTGGACGCAAGAGCAGGAGAAGTTCTTCTGCTCCTGTCTCCTCCCCTGGGTCTCCCCTGCCTCTCTCAACCTGGCGAGGACGGCAGTCGCGTCGACCGCGCCATGGGCATCAGCCTCTTCGTCTCTGTGCTGGAGGCGAGGGCAGGAGGAGGAGGAGGAGGAGAGCTTCAGCTGCATCATTTCTCGTTCCAAGCTCAGCATCTTCTCGTGCTGTTCAGTGAGGGTCTCTTGCAGGGACGTCACGTCGCTCATGAGGCTGGTGATGATCTCGTTCTTCTCCTGCAGCAGGCTCTCGCTCTTCGTCGCCTTCCTCGTCTCTGCTCTTATTCTCCTCTCAACTGCCGTCGGCAGACTGCGGAAGCGGCTCCTCATGCTAGCGGGCGACAGAGCGTTGCTCTCTTCATCCTCCGCCTCCTCGATCGTCACCTTGCGCACGATCCTCTCGAGGATGTTGGTCCACAACGTGTGCTCCTGCTCGAGCGCCGAGAGGTCCTCGAGGAAGCCATCTGCTAGCCGCCTGCTCCCCTTCACCTCCTCCAGCAGCCACGTGATGCCGCCGAGTAACTGTTTCTGCTCCTCCTCATCTCCCCCCCGCGACTTGGCAGCCTCCTGCTGCTCCCCCGACTCTCCTGCGCGGCGCTCACCAACTTCTTGGCATAGGCAGGAGATGCGGAGGAGTTCAACGGCCTCCTCTAACTCGCTCCTCACCGTCTCCTCCCTCTCATCCGCCTCCTGCTGCGCCTTGACCGCAGCAGTCAGACGAGACCGCAAGCCCTTCATCTCTTCAGCAGAGGTTCGCAGCTCCTCCTCCAGCTCGCCTGCTCTCCGAACCAGTCGCTCCTTCTCCCTCCTGGCTGCCCTCAGCTCCTTTAGGTCATCCGCTCTCTCTCTCCCCAGGGACGCGAGGGGAGAAAGCGTCTGCATCAGATTATCCAGACCAACCAGGAGAGACAACAGACTCTCTTCCTCCCTCCTCGCCTCCTCCTCCACTTCTTGTTCCTCCTCCCTTCTCCTCTCCACGACCATCACTCGCAGTTTTCCTACTTCTTCTTCCAGGCGATCGCATTGGGACACAAGCAAACTATTCTCATCCAGTACCTTTCCCAGCTGCTGCCTCACCTCCTCCAGCTCTCTGGCAGCTCTCTCCGCGTCTGCCGACTCTTTTCGTCGCGTCTCTTCCTGCTCGTCTGCCGCTGCTCGCAGGCGCGTGATCAAGGTCTCCGCTTGTTCCAGCTGCCGGCGAGTCTCGGCGAGCTCAGACGCCTGTTGCATCAAGCGCGAGTCGCTGAGTTGCTGGTGTGCGTGGCGGAGGAGGAGGAGGAGACGATCAGAGACGTTCAGCTCTCCTCGTCCTCCTGCAAGTCTCCACTGAGTCTGATAGCTGACTAGAATCTCAACCATCGCCTCTCGCTCTTCCTCCACTTCCCTTAAGCGTCTCTTTGCACTTTCGAACCCGCGGACAAGGGATGCAACTTTCGCCCAGACGTCCAAACCATCATCCCTCTCCCCCCCCGTCTCCGCGACCAACAACAGCCTCAGCTCTCGCACCATCTTCTCCAGTTTTGCAGTCACCTCCAGCCATCGCTCAGCACATGGCAGAGAAGCTGAAAGGAGTCGGTCGAGCGCTTCCATCACCTCGAGCGTCTCCTCCTGCCATACCCCCACACTTGTCGTCACTTGTCTCGCCTCTCCCTCCAGGTCTTGCGCCACTGTCACCATATCACGAAGCATCTGCCAGCAGGCCGCGTCGTCGCGTCGCATGTTCGACTCAACTTGCAGCATCACGTCGTCAATCTCCTCCTGCGATTGGTTCAGCTCGTCAAGGATGTTCTGAGCGAACGGAAGTGCCGCCCCCACCCATCGCTCCTTCCTGCCCTCTGCCATGGCGAGCAGCCCCAGCAGCTCGTCGTGGCTCTCCTTCCACTCGTTGTTCATGTCAGCGAACACTCGCAGGCAGTCGCTGCGCACATCCGTGAGCTCCGTCAGCATCTCCTCGCACGTTGCTCTGCTTGTCTCCCTCGCTCGCTCTTCCTCCCCCACCAGCTCCATCAACTTCTTCATCTTCTCACTGTCTGACGCTGCCAGTTTCATTTCCTCCTGCAACCTCCTTGCCTCCTCATCGCCTCGCTTCGCTGATTCCTTCGCCTCCTCCAGCACAAGGCTAAGAGACTTGAGGTCTGCCGCGACGTCAAGGACCCGCACGAGGATGTCGGCGACTCTTCCTCCTCTTCGAGCCTCCAGCTGCTCCATGAGCTCATCAAGATGTTTCACTTGCTCTTCTATCACCCGCATCTCCTCTTGCATGCGTCGCATGTGAGCAAGCTTGCTTTCTTCCGACCTTATCCTCCTACTCAGCTCCTCCTTGGCCTGCCCCAGCTCTTCCTTGGCCTGCCCCAGCTCTTCCTTGGCCTGCCCCAGCTCTTCCTTGGCCTGCCCCAGCTCCTCCTTGGCCTGCCCCAGCTCTTCCTTGGCCTGCCCCAGCTCCTCCTTGGCCTGCCCCAGCTCTTCCTTGGCCTGCCCCAGCTCGCTCTTGAGCATCGCCTCCTTGCTCTTGACCTTTCTGAGCTCGTCTTTCTCCAGCAATTGACCAGCTTGACTTTCCTGCAGCTCAAGTCTCATGATTTCCAGCTCTCGCCGCATGCTCGCCGCCTCCGCCTCCTTCTCCGCCAATTTCTGTTTCTCCTCCATCACCCACGTCTCCAGCTCTTGCATGCGGACCTCAGAAGCTTCCATGCAATCTCGCGAGCTCGCAGCTTGCTGAGCTTGCAGCGCCAACAACTTGAACAACAACCTGCCCCATCGCCAACAGACTTTCTCCTCCCTCTTCTCCTCCCTCTTCTCCTCTCGCCTCCCCTTCAGCAGCTTGTCAAACTGTGCGGCCTGACTTCGAGCTTCCTCTTCGTAGGCAGACTGAAAACTTGAAAGCTGCTGAGAGGCGGCGAGGAGAGCGCGTGAGACGTCAAGGCCGTCGCTCCTGACCGCCACGAGTCTCCTCTTCATAGCAGCCACAATCGACGACAAGCCAGCAGGAGCACAGCCGCACGCAGCCCTTGCAGACAGGATCTCGTTCCTCAGACATCGCAGTTGTTCCTCAAGCTTTTCAGCACTGTCGAGGCTCAGCTGGATCTCCTGGTGGACTTTGTGCTCCTCCTCTCGGGCCTCAACTTGACAGCCATGCACGAGGCTTGTCGCTTCCTCAAGTTGGAGGAGCATCGAGAAGACGGTCTGCGCTTTCTCGTCGCGCCCCTCCAGCAGCATCGCAAGGGTCAGGGAGCAGGTCGATGAGAGTCGATCGCAGTCAGACAGCAGCTGCTCGATCTTGAGCTCCTCCTTCTTCGAGGTTTCTTGCTGTTCACCTCGCAGCATCTCAACAGTCGCAGCTTGTCCTCTTGCTTCGGCTTGCAGCTCCTCCCTCCTCTTCCTGCTCAGCTCAACTTCTTTCAGACATCTCCTCATCTTCCCTTCTATAAGTTCAAGCGCGTCTAGCGTTACTTCCTCGCACTCCTGCCCCTCTTGAACCAGCTCGACAACATCGCGCAAGTCAAGGCCCTCACGGCACAAGTCCTTCAGTTGCAATGCCATTGCTCGAGCATGCAGCAGCTGCGACTCAGCATGCCGTCGCTTCCTCGTCTCTCTGTGCGACTTCATCAGGTGGAAGTGCTGCTGTAAACTCATCCGATTCTCCGCAGCCTCTTGCAGCTTCTCGTTCCTCTTGCACGTTTCAGCCCTTCGCCCCTCAAGCTCCTCCACCTGCCGTCTCGCCACCTCCAGCTGGTCTCCCATCTTCCTCGCCACCTGCTCGAGCTGCTCGAGCTGCTCCTCCACTCGTGTCTGCACGTGCTCTTGTTCTGCTTGCCGAGTCGCCACGAGCTGAGCCTGCAAGGCCATCTCCCCCGCCGCCCGCTGAGACCCTCGTTGAGCCTGCTCAAGCTGCAAGGTGACCCGCACCAGCTTCTGTTTCTCCTCTGCCCTCTCCTCTTCTCGATTCTTCAATGCCTCCCTCGCGAGCTTCAGTTCCGCCTGTGACGTCTGCAACTTCAGCTGCAGTTCCTCCATACCATGAGCTCGGGCCCTCTGCTGCTCCTGCGCTGCTTCGGATTGTCGTCGCAACGAGCTCAAGCTTTCTTTCACCTCTCCTTGCATCTGCAGGCACATCTCGGCGATCTTGAGACTCTCTTGCTTCACCTGCCAGGCTTCTCGCGCCCCGTCTGACCTCAACTTCTCCAGCCTCATTCCCAGCCTGTCGCATCGCATCCTCATCGGCCCGCACGTCTCGCTCAACCTGCACATCAACTCGTCCACCTCCGACACTTGACGCAGCAACTTGTCAACTTGATCGTCTCCATGTTCCAGCAGCTGCTGCCTCGCATCAGTTCTCTCTCCTCCTCCAACTTCACTGCACCTTCTCTTGCGCCTCTGCTCGTCGTCCTTCCTGCGTCAACCCGCTCGCAATCTCTGAGCTCAACATGCGCAACTCGAGAAACTCCCGGGAGAGGACGCGAAGACTCCTTCTGCTCTCGTCCTTGATGACCTGCCATGCGGTAAGCTGCTTCATCGCCCTCTTTCCCTTCTCCTCTCATGCCTCGTGGGTTTCTCGCAGTCTCTCGCAGTTTCTCCTTTCCTGCTGCAGCTCCTCCCTGCTCCTCTCCAGCTCACGCGACAGTCTCTCGCTTTCCTCGTGCGACACCTGCACCATCGTCAGGGGCGGCAAGCAATCAGCAAGCAGGAGACCCTCGTCTGCTCAATCGCTCGTCTGCTCTCTTGCGTCAAACTTTCGTTCCGGTGCATCACAGCCACCAGCTGCTCCATCACGTCGCGCATCTGCTTCTCCAGCAGACCCTCCATGCTCTTCACCTTCTGCTTCAGACCCTCTGCCTCCTGCACCCACATGACCTCGTTAAACTCCCGCACCAGTTAGCACCTTGCTGTCATGCTTCGCCTTCCCATCCAGCTCATTGCGCGCATCTTCCAACTCTCTGAAGACAAGGATAAGGAGAATGCAAGTCAGCATCGCCTCCTTCCTCTACCTGATCAGTCGCTCCTTCTCCTCGTTTTCTCGCGTCACGACCTCCACATTTCTCTTTGCCATCGCTGCCTCTTCCTTGGCTCTCTTCGCCTCTACCGCGTATTTTTCCTTCACTCCGATCAGCTCGTCCAAGAAAGCTTTTGCACCTCCCGAAGCCGAACTCGCACCAACCTGCATGGAGTCATTGGGAGGGTACAGGAACACAAGAAAGAAGGGCCCGAGAGAGGAACAGGAAAAGAAGCAGGATTAGGAGTAGGAGTAGGCCTAAGTAGGAGTAGGAGTAGGAGGAGCAGGAGTAGGGGTAGGAGCAGGAGTAGGGGTAGGGGTAGGAAGGGGTAGGGGAGTGCAGCTTGCATCTACTTGGAGTTGAAGACGATTTATGCGATCTCTCTGCTCGGATATCGTCTTGTCTCTGTGCTCGAGCTCTTCCTCGGATTGCTGCAATTGATCTCGAAGCTTTCTGTTGTCATGCTGGAAGGCAGCGTCAGCTTTCTCACGCGAGAGCATCGTCGTCTTTACATCAGCTTGTTCAACAGCGTTCTGAAGTTGTGCCACATGCTCTTGTAGCTCATGGATGTATCCTTCCTTGGTCGAGCACTCTGTCTTGCTCTGCTCCAGCGCGACTTCCAGCTCCTGCACGTTCTTCTGGTAGCCTCGAGCCTGCAGCCTCGCGTCATCCGCGGGCCCATCCACATCATCCTCACCTGAGCGTCAAGTCGCTCGAGCTGATGACTCAGGCGCTGAAGGAGCGACTCCTGACTCACGGGGCTCGCAGATCCTGACTTGCTTCCTCCCTGACTCAGCCCGCTGGCTTGCCCAAGCGCTCGCTTCTCTCCGGCAGCTGCCTGTACAACTGAGGGGCTGAATTGCTTCCCAACGAGAGGCGAAGGCTGCTGGGACCGGAAGCTGCTGTCCGATCGTGGAGGAAGAGGAGGAAAGGGGGGAGAGCTGGACTGCGAAGTCACTGACGGAGCAGGCATGTCTCGGAACGCTGGGATCTCGTCGTCCGGGGGAGGAGTAGACGGCAACTTCTTTTTCTTTCTCCCTGACCGTCGCTGAAGCTGAGCTCTGATGGGGATCTTTGCCCATCCCCTCTCCAGCTCGATCTCAACGAGCGAGAGAGGTTCTCCGCGCAGCAGCTGGTTGATGGCAAGCATGGTGAGGCCCTGCACAAAGTCAAGAGATAAGCGAGGCTTTCACGACCAAGGCAACGTACCTCAACTGGCTGACCGTCGATGGACCGCAACGTGTCTCCGAGCTGCAGCTTGCTTCCTTCCGTGCCTCCAGTGACCTAAGCTCGATCAACCTTGTTCATGGAGGTACCTCCATCCCTACCTTGCATGTTCCATCCAATGCCGACAAGCCGAACTTGACGCGAACGCCTGTGTTCCTGTTGTTGCCATCGCGACCAGCATCGCTCAACGTGGATGAGGCGACGCTGACCTCGGAGTCTGACATGTTGAAGCTCTAGCTCATGAGGAAGAGCATGTTCATGCACGGCAGCAGCGCATGTTACCTCCTACTAGTCCTGGTATGCCAGCTTGCTCCCGCCATGTGGCATTACCTCGCTTCCCATCGCGATCTACCCCCACGACAACATGCAAGTTGACAATGGTGCTAGCTTATGCTATATTACCTTTATGCTACTTATGAAATCGTCTGACTATGACCTGATCTCTCTGAAGGTATCAACCACTACCCCCTCCCACTGCTGCCATCGATTTCTACTGAAATATCAGCTTATCAATTTTTCAACGATTATTTCAATTATTTAGGGGTAAATTGAAAATCTAACATTATAATTGAAAAAAACGTTCATGATCAAAACCGATTTAACTCGATGATTGCAACCGATTTAACTCGAGTCTAATCGTGATTCAATTCGATTTAAATCCGCTTCTATGCGACCACCCGCGTTGATAGTATGACGGGAAGTGTTTGGGGGTAGCGAGAGAGAGAGGGAGAGAAGAGAGATGAAGAGGAACAAGGGGATGGAGGAAGGTATTCAACAATTGCACATCGAAACAAGGACGACTACAAGCAGAAGGATTTGCTGACGAGCATTCAATGAGAAAAACGACCCTCCAAGTCTCGCAGGTTTGTCTTCTCTTGCTCGCATGTTCTCTCGAGCTGGTATCCGTGTGGACCGAGCTGCCTTCCCGGCCCATGTATCGTTTGCGGGGAGGAGGAATGCACATGCACGAGGAGGAGAGTGGAGACTCTTGGTCGTCCTTAAGCAGCGAGGAGAAGAAGCGGAAGAGCAAGCTGGAAGAACTGGACAACATGGCAGACGGGGTAGGAGCGAGTCTGCTGCGAAAGATGGGCTACGATGGTGGAGGACTCGGTCAGCGAGAGCAAGGGAAACCGAATGCGATAGAAGTTGAAGCGCAGAAGCAGAGCTCACGGGCGGGGATCGGCAAGCCTCATCTTGTTGTGTCCGCCTAATTCATCGTTGCAGGACTACGTGAAAGGAGTGCAAAGGCACAAGGCGACTTCTTGTTCAGCGAGAGGTGAAACTCTCTTCTATCCCCCGTCGGCTCCACATCCTCACCTTCTCCCAGCGATTTCTCGGATGAAAAAACTGCGGGAGGAAAATACGGAGGGCTAAAGAGAGCGTGGGACAACAAGTCGCTACGAGTATGCAGGAGGGAGAGGATGTGATGAAAGCGACAGGTTTAGAAAAGCTTTTGGTCGAGAGAAGGTCAGGAGAAGCAAGAAGAAAACTGACCAGACATTGGTAGATCACCTGATCCTAACGTGATGACCTGAGAGGCTGCAGGAATTTGATGCGAACACTACTCGTTCGAGTAAAATGAGCCAGCGGTTTTGTGAATCTTTCGACGAGAAATATGGAGAGGTGCTGGGAGAGGAAAGCGCGGGATCTTTGAGAGAGAACGAGCAGGGAGGTGCGAGTCCTGCCCATCCTCAGGGTCCTCTACTCTCTTACTGGCCCAGCAGCTCCCTCACATCCTCCCAAGCGAACCAACTGGAAGGAGTTCGACGCGATGAGCCGTGAACAAGCAAGACCTCGCAAGTAGTCCAGACTCAGGTGGTTTGATGAGATGGCGTCGCTCACTTGCGATGTCTCAGGCGAGAGAAGCCCGATGACATGGAAGAGTTGTTTCGATTCCGAGAAAGAAACAGGTGGCGAATCATGTCCTCTGATCGCCTAAGCCCCTGCAGAAACAAGACAGAAGCAGGAGCGTACCAAGACAAGGAATTCTCGGACGTGTCAGGTGTCACGAGCAGATACGACGTCGATGATCTAACTGTGTGTGCAGACAAGGATGAGTCTGAGAGCAATCAAAGTCTGGAGGTGAAGACCGAAGTGAAGGTTGACATGGGGTTGTGGTGAGGACTTGAATCATGGGATTGTCTTCCAGCCCAACAAGATTCAAGGAGAATACTTCGATCCTGCTGGTCGTCACCTCCTGTGTTGACGTGGCTACTCGTGAACGCTTGCTTGCAGTTCCCTTCCTTCCGCTATCGGAGCATTCAGACCCAAACGAGTGAGGATGCAGATATTTACTTCTCGCCTCTCACTATTCCTTCTCTCTTCTCCTTGTCTTCCTTGCTTCTCACGTGCTTTCAGAGCTGATGTGCCAAAGCGATCGGCGAGACCGCAAAGGACGCGGCAGAGAGGAGCAGACACGGCAGAGGTAGCCAAGGCAGCGGGTGATGGGCGGAGAGTCTCCTCTATGAAACGCAAGAGAAATGAAAGTCCTCCATGTGAGACGCCTGCTGATCGATTTTGAAATTGACGAGGGGAAAGCAGCAGACGGGACTCGCCGGAAGGAGAAGAGGAAGAGGATGGATCAGGTGCTGGCGTTTGCTCGTGTGCCTGCTGCTGATTCTCTCAAGCTTCCTGCTCGAGAGCCTCAAGAAGGTGAGTCAACCCCAGCACGACTAGAGTTGACCAGCTGTGCTGCAGCTGCAGAAGATCAACAAGTCAACCTGAGCGACGCGTTGAAGACATGTCTGCCTGCCTGCCTTGTCTATGTGAATGTCTTGACCGCAGTTGACCCCCATCAGTCCAAGCCCACCTACAGGCCATCGCACAAGACGAGAACAAGATGTTTAGGAAAGAGAAGGAAGAGAAGGAAGAGAAGGTTGTTCCTGTCCATGCTGCTTGTGAACTGAGAAAGTGAGGCTTCAGATCTCAGCAGAGAAGAGCTCCTCACAATTTGCGGTGTGACGTGTTACCTTCCTTTTCTTGTTGCTGATCGGCTGTCAGAGTTCGCTGCAGGCCCTCAAGCACCAGTGCCTGGCAGAGGAAGACAATGTGCTTCTGCTCTTGCTCTGCGTCCCCTCACCCGCTGCGTCAGGTTGCCAAAGAAATCTCAGCAGCTGCCGGGGAGGCGAGTCGAGCGCAGGCGGTGACGTACACGAGGAGCTTCAGAGATGAGATGAGAGACCCAGCGATGAACAGCAGCTGTAAGGCTAGCGAAGCGACGGAGGAGGACTGACTAGCACGACAGTTCTTGTCAAGAGCAAGACGGGGAGACACCAGGACGACCCGGACGCGCTTGTCAAGGTGGCAGCTGAGAGCACAGTATGGAAGCTTCTCACGAGCACTGCAGCTCATGCACGAGCCTCCTGGCGGTTGGACGGAGCCGAAAGGTGGACTGGAGAGGTGAGAGTGAGAGTCTCCAGCACTTGCTCAGCTGAGTTGCCTTACAGGTGGATGGAGAACCAAGACTTGGACTTTGAACCTCCGGTCAACGTGTTATCACAGCAGAAAGAAGGTATGACAGCAAATCACCTCCCTCTCCCTCTCCCTCTCCCTCTCCCTCTCCCTCTCCCTCTTCCTCTTCCTCTTCCTCTTCCTCTTCCTCTTCCTCTTCCTCTTCCCCCCTCTTCCTCCCCCTCCCCCTCCCCCTCCCCTTCTCCCTCCCCTTCTCCCTCTCCCTCTCCCTCTC